TAGCCACCCAGACTGAAGGGGAAACGGCGGGAAAAGAAGAAAGGGGCAGAACTCCCACGGAGGCAGGAATCGGGGATATCAAAGGGACAAGGGACGATATACCCAGGGGTTGGGAGTTAATATGGGTGGAACATCCCTGGACTGGGAAGTGTGAAAAGGTCCGGGTTCCTAGGGAGGAGGCAGACTACAGAAGGGAAAGAGGTCTGCCTCCTCGACCCTCGTATTGGGGGGAATCAGAGGCATGTGAGTGGTGCCGTAGGTTAAGAGAAGAGAAGGAAGCTCTGGAGAGATAAGAAAGGGAGATAAGAGCATGGAGGCTGGAGGAAGCCTATTGGAGAGGCTTCTGGCTGGACCGTGGGCTCCCTTACGAAGAGATGAGGACCCCTTTGACCCCGAAGGGAGAGATGAGGAGACAATACCGCGAATAGACCCGGGAATAGACTCTTTGGACTTGGATGACAATAAAGGGAGAGATGAGGAGACCATATCGCGAATAGACCCGGGAATTGACTCTTTGCACTTGGATGACAACAATTCCTTTACCGAGGGTCCCTGGAATGACTCTGAGTTTAATCCGTTGAACAAGAACATTTGGATGCCCTCATGGGACCCGTTGGTCACGAGAGACAATGCTGGAGTAGAGTTAGAAGCCAAGAACCTGTTGTTCAATGTTCCAACAAAACCCAGATTTGATTTTACAACTCCCGAGACTCTGGTGTCTATGTCCAAAACAGAAGAGACCCATTTGAACCCTCACACAGAGAAAGGATTATTTCCCTTCCCGCAGTAGGTGGAACAATGGATCTCAGCAGAGTATTTCTGACATAAAAGCCAACACCATATTCCCTGGTCCCATCTGAACACCAGTTCCATACTTGACCTCAAAGACACCCAAGGGCAAAAAAACAGAAGCGACATGGAATGTGAGAAGAGTTATCTGCAAGGTATCAAATCCCCACAAGACGGGATTGAGCAAGTGGAGGGAGGGTACAGTATATGTTCGCTGAAAGCCACAGTCCTCCGGGTCACCTTCCCAATCACCTCTAGGAATCCGTCTCTCTCGTCTGGCGTGCTTTCCCTCTAGGAATCCATGTCTCGCTTTCTTGTCTCGGCCACTCTAGGAATCGATGCTCACTCTCTAGGAATCCTCTCTCTGTTCAAGGCAACCAGAATGTCACTAATCTAAGAGGGTTCCTCTCTAGGAATCCGCGTGAGGTTACAGTGGTCACCAACCATGAGGCTCCGCCCCTTCCGCTCCTGCCTCCTCCTCCTGCCTCCTCCTCCTCCTCCCTCCACCCGCTCCAAAGGGTGGGTCGAGGCGGGAAGATGGGAGTCGGGCGTCCTCCTGCCCCCCCCACCTCTGAGATCCCCCCCCACCAGGGAAAAGGCCGCTTTGCAAGGAGTTTCTCGCCAGAGGAGCTGGAAGGAGGTGAGCAATCGGGTGCAGGAGCGGAACAGGAGAAGGGGGGGGGGGTCCCTAAGGGGTTGCAAAAATACATTTAAGAAACAAGCAAACAAACAAAACGCTCCCCACCCCCCCCAAAGGCCCTGCAATCCGGATTAGGCCATTCCTCCCGCTGCTCGGTCTGCAAGAGGCGAAGGCTTTGCAAAGGGGAGGGGAGGGGGAGGCGCCTGTTTTGTTTTCCTCCCGATCCTCTTCCTCCTGGAGGGGGGG